AAGAAGGAGAAAGTAGGCTGGTCTGGATGCCAGAATGGACCATGGACTGTGGGTTTGCTGGATGGAAGGTTAGGCTGAGGGACAGCGAGAGGAGAAGGTATGGGGACGAAATGGATGGAAGAAAAAAGAAATCAGATGAAGGAAGAAGAAATAAAAGGAAAGAATGGAAGAAAGAAAGAAACAAAGAAAGAAATGAAGGAAGGAAGGAAAGAAGGAAGGAAGGAAAGAAGGAGGAAGGCAGGAAAGAAGGAAGGAAGGAAGGAATGCCATACCTTTCACTACCTTATCCAGATAGTGAGCTTGGGAGATAAAAGACAAGGACATGTAAGGGGAGGATTTGAACAGTGCAGCTTTCAGAGAGAGACGTGGACAGCCAGAGCAACAGCAGGCATGCCTTTACTGAGAGGAAACCACAGCATGCAGCACAAACACACATCACAGGCCAGAACACATACACAGCATAGGCTGCGACATACGATTAGAGAGACAGAGAGAGAGAGAGAGAGAGAGAGAGAGAGAGAGAGAGAGAGAGAGACAGAGAGAGAGAGACAGAGAGAGAGAGACAGAGAAAGAGAGAAGAGCTAGAGGGCTAAAAAGCGTAGTACAATCGATGGCCAGAAAACGAAGTCAATCATTTTAGCCAAACAGTGCTTTACTAACTGAAATGAGTGTCAGTTTTCAGCTGTGAATGAACAAATATGACTGTCAGTTTTCAGCTCAAACAGCTAAAACTCACATAGCATTAAATAATATAATTTTAGGGAGGAGCTTCTGTGACGTTTTACCACATTCTTGTTTTGTGTTCAATTGTACAAGTTCACCTGTGTTACTGTAACAGCAATGAACAGGTAGTGACCATCAGCTTAACGTTCTCTTGCATCAGAGGCATCTGTTCATTTTTATATAAAGCCAGCCACTAACTAATGATAATTTTTGCTGTTACCAATTAATCTGTGGGACTGCAGATATTATACTGATATTACTGCTGATATTATGAGCCAACTGATTTATGGGTCTGACCCTATCAAAATGTTTATAATGTAGACTAGAGCTGCATGATAAATCATAGCTTTATTGTTATTGTGATGAATTTTTGCAATTTACACTTTGTTAAGGGCTGCAGTGACAGAACAAATCAAGTAACCTCTAATGCCACACTGAAGTAGATGTAATTATATGGGTGGAATGCAGTGTTAGAATCCCGACAAGTGCTCTCTGTGTTAGACTTGAACCATGCACTCACTCACGTAACTTAACTATTCAGCTAAACAACTGGTTATAAAACACATAAGTGCAAAGCTCAGAAACTACTCTGTCATGAACCACAAGCCTGTTAAAAAGGCTTAAAACATGACGACTCTTCTCGTGCTCAGTGTTGTGTGTAAAATGCATAGACTATGGTAGCAGTGATAGCTACTGTTACAACAATATTTATTTGTTTTTGTAAGCCTATAATGAAAATAAAAAATATACATATTTATTTGTGTTTACAGCCTGATTGCAAATATGAATAGAAAAAGCTGTTCAGGGACTCCTGACTGTTTTTAGATTGAAGCACCTCATGGAACTCACATTTTACAGGCTACAAACAACCAAAAGGCTGTTGATGCTTCATAAGAGCAGGGCTTCACAGTGTACCTGTTTGTCCTTGTTTAGCATTACAGTGCACAAAAATGTGATTGCCGTTCTGATGTAAGTAGTTATACCTATTTCATTATTTACATTTTGCTCAATAAGAAATGCTATAAATGCTGCTTTTGTAATGTTTTTGCTATTTGCAAATAAGGAGAGGTTATGTTTCTGTTTACACAGCAAAAAAAGTCTGTGGCACATCCAGTTACAGGAAAACTATTTCAACACTAATTTAAGGCCTCTCAGGTTGTCATCGTGATATTCAATAGCTTTATCAAAAAACATATTTAATGTTCGTATTGTGCAGCCTCAATGTAGACTATGGTATGTATAGCAGGCTATATATAGCTATACAGCAGGGTATGTATTGTAATGTATAGCAGGCTAAACAGCAGCCAAATTCACTGCAAATAACCTGGTAAATCTGGCCTGAATGCCTCTATGAACACTGAGCTCCTTATGTAATAGTATGATTCTCTGTGTTTGGGGACATCTCACCACAGCACATATAAAAGGCATGTTAATATTGCATTCACATAATATTAAACATTGAATGACTTAGCTTGCACTAGAAGCCTGGTGAAAACCCTGCAGCTCTCTGCGCACACAGCCTGAGATGCCATCACACTTCGAACAACTGCAGGATGCTAAAATCTAAATATAGTCAAAATATTCCTCTGCTTATTTTTTCTTCTTTCTGAACTGCGCAGGTTGGTATGCACTGTCTACAGCCCATTTCTTTTCTGGGGCCATTGACGGATATACAGACGAAAATCAAGCACTGGAAATGGCACTGACAACAGCAAAGAACTATGTCACCCATTTCTACTGAGCAGAGGTGGCAGGGACGTTTCTCAGAAGAAGAGAGAGAAACAGAGAGAGAGAGAGAGAGAGAGAGAGAGAGAGAGAGAGAGAGAGAGAGAGAGAGAGAGAGTGTAAACAGAAGAGACAGGGAGACAGACACAATGGTGTTGAGACAGACATACTGGAAAAGGCAGTCTCCTAGAACGGGTCAGTCCACTGGCCCATTCAGGCTCTTTAAGGTCAGCTGAAAGAATGTGAATCCTCACAGCTAACACAAAGTGAACTGACCCCAGGCAGGACCGAAGGGAAAGAAAAGAAACGAAAAGAAAAAAAAAAAACTTATCATGAAATAAATGCCATCAGTGCACATTTATTTCTTGTGGCACCATCTAGTAATACATACAGGGCACAGTGGGATTAAGCGTCCCCCAAGGATGTTTATCAACCAAATCGCTGAACGCTACCAAATTTCCTTTCAACACTTTCTTTGGGTGATACATCCACTGAAAGAGTTGAAAGTCATTCCATCAAAATGATTCTGAGGTATATAGGTCTCGTATTTTCTTAACATGCAAGCATTCTCTGTATGATGTGAAGAGGCCAGACTCCTGAATTTATTATTAATATTTAAAAAAGACATTGTGATAATAAATCATCCACTTAGAAAATTCATGTTAAATAAACAAAATAGTGCAACATGAGTAATTAGCCACAAATTACATCACAAATGATAATTTTGCTAGTTTGTGTAATCCAATTCAGCCTGCTAATTAGCCAACCTGATCGCAACCTAGATTCATTGCAGGCCTAAGCCATAGGCTATAGCTACAACAATTAACTGGGTTCCATAATTTAGGGACTATTAATTTTCATCATAAATCATTCATGAGATTAAAAGGAAAACTAACACAGGTGTACAGATATGAAGGTGACTTTCAAATTGATGCAGCATTAAGATACAGTGAGGAATGTGCCATTTCACAGTAATGAAGTTGTATATTTCACTCAGTTAAATAGATTAAACTGCAGTACTTTTAATAGTCTAGGTAAACCTACAAAACTGACGTTTAATCGTTAAGCGGTCATATCCTCTACTGAATCTTACTGAATCCTACTAAGCACTTTATTTGCAGGCTAGCTTAAATTATAAATGATGATTACAATGGCTGTACACTGGTGTCCTATAAATACAAGTATGAGGTATAAGGCCAGTTTTTAGATTATGATTTTCATCAAAGATATTTTAACACCTTTCAGTGCCTCATTTTATTCTTAGCCTATGCCTCGTGTTTAACAGCTGCAGCTTAACATAAAAGCTGACTGCGCTGTCAATGTTAGCATCCCTGCTCTGAGCATCCGAGAGGCCACTGCACCCAGACCCAGCATTATCTTCACATTACGCTGTCTTTCATGAGCAGAGCTGCACACAAATTAGATTCACTTAATTACTTATTCAATTCACATGAGGTTAGACGTTTCAGTCTGCCAGCCTGAAACCTGTAGCAGGCTTGGTGGTGCCCTGCTAACAGATCTCTACTTAGCTTTACGTTATCAGCTGTTCAAGACTAGTTTAAGATAGTTTGATCAATCAGTGCTGATAGTGACTAATAATGAATGAAAGTCAGTAATGGCAGTGAGCGTAATGTCATGCTAACTGGCAATGTGACCTTTCATTCACTGTTAGCAGCGCTAGCATCACTTGGTTGGACTATTTCTTTAAACTGAGCTCAGCTTCTTGACAGCTCTATGGTGTCCCATAAAGCTGGGATGTGCATCAGCATGCGGAGATACGGACAGTGAAATCTGCCATCACGAATTTTATTGCCAACCTAGAAGTGATAGGGAAACTTGCGGTGGCATCAAGTTAAGGGAAGCCAAGCATAAAGGCACAGTTTCTGCCTTGACTGATGTTTGTTTTTGACCATTTTCTCTGTGAGTCAACTTTGAGGCAATCAAAAAAAGCAATCAAAACATGAAGGCGAAGGAAAGAATCATGTCAGTTGCATAGCTCCTCTGCCGATTGAGTCTCTGGCACTTTTACTCAAATTCTAAGTAGAGTTAAAGGAAAGTTTGGAAAAAAAAGTCTAATTTTCAATACTGAGACTTTCTAAGTAAATAAAAGTCTTTTTATTTTTTCTCTTTTCTTTGCGGTCAAGTGCCCTGCTAAAAAGAATGTCTTTCCAGTGGCTGAGCTGCTCGAGACGATGCAAATGTTTGTATTTCACATCAACAAATCAAAAGGAAGGCGACGACGCGGGAGGATAGGGAAAAAGCGGGATGTGGAAAAGGATGAGCGGAAATGAAAAGACACCTTAGCACATTCTCACATTAAAATGCATGAAGGCAAGCCTTAGATCCTTCAGCAAACCTCTTCATGCTATGCCGAGTTGCACAAATTCAATTACGCATGCTTCTCCCTTTCTCGCCCAAAACCCCCCAAAACCTCCCCCCATTTAACGAACCACCCCTCAGTCATTCACTCATTTTCACTCACTCACTCACTTGCTTGCTCGCTTGCTCACTCAGTCACTCACTCGCTCGCTCACTCACTCACTCCACCCTACCGATGGTGCAGTGTTCTCCGTTCCAGCCTGGGCTGCACTCGCACTTGCCGTCCTTGCAGGTGCCATGTTCGCTGCAGCGCGGGTGACACGCCCTCTGGTCACAACCGGCGCCTGTCCAGCCCTCCTCACAGCGGCAGCCGCCCGCCACGCAGACGCCATGACCGCCACAGTCCGCCGCACAAAGCTCTGTGGGAGAAACGCAGGGAGGGGGACGGAGGACCACAGGGGGTAAAGACAAGACAAATCCACAAGTTATTGTCGGAGATGGACCGGCCACGCTCTGCTAGCTCGTCCAACGGCTGCTCAAAAGAAATTCTCACCCCTCATAAGAAAAGGGGGGTACAATACCCTTTGGACAATGCAGATCTAATAAGCCCATCACAAAGCAAAGAGGGGGGCATGTATGGTGGCAGATTCTCCACAGTGCCCCTCGTCCTCCTTTGTGAATCCGCACCCCTTTTGTGCCGTGAGAAGGTGGCAAAAAAGGAAAAAGTCCAATTTTAACTTTCAATAGAAGCAGCAACACATGTCAGCCCTCATTAACCGCTTAAACTGCAGGCTTATTATTCACTTATTAATCTTAAAGGGCACATATCATGGCAAATCCTTCATCCTTGCCTGTTTTTCAATAAAAGAATGTGATGTAGTCTTTAAACACTGTTATAATGTTAGAGTTTCAAAAGGTATTGTTTGCTCCTCAATTCATATGATCTAAATATGAAAATGAACCTGCTAAAACAGCTTATTTTAAATTCATTGTATTTGTGATGTCATAAATATCAACACATTGACTAATTTCCACCTATTCAGCCTATGGCCCCTTCACATCGAAGTCCTATGAAGTGCTGCAGACAAGACTACTTTTATGATGAGGCACAACACAGGGCAGCCAATCAAAACAGAGGCAGATTAGCTCATTTTAAAAGGTACAACTAAACACAGTCATATGCAAAAGTTTGGGCATCCCTGGTCAAAGTACAAATGACATGTCTTGTTGATAGTTAACAGATCCTCTACAGAGAACACACTTATGTACACTTCAATCTATAATTACTTATTATTTGCTGAATGTAACACATTGGAAAATAAAACATAAAATGTGGCCTGTGTAAAAGTTATGGTCATTTTATATAGTTTATGCAAATAAATAGACATTGGCACTAAAGGGTGCAGAAAAATGCCATATATTAGTGTGTTCTCTGTAGATGATTTGCTCACTTGTCTTCACTTAGAAAATCAACAAATTTTCCGCATACGACTGAAAACATCTTATTTAATTCTAAGGGATAAAGAAAGGTTGGAAAATAGTCATACAAAAAGTAAGTATGACTTTTTGGTACATAAAAGCAGAAAAACAAAAAAACAAGTGGGCTACATAGGAAAAAATATAATCAACAAAAATGTAGGATACTGGCTTTTATAGGATTATTCAGTAACCACTACAAATTATTTACTACTTTATGTATATTATGTAGTTTTGAAAGAATTCAAGTGGCAATTGAAGGAATTCATGTAGGCTCAATGTTTGCCTTGCTGGTAATGAGGAAGACAAGGCTGATTACATGGCTGCTGAGATGATGGAGAAGAAAAAAAAACCTTAGTGGTAAGTCAGTGGAGGAGAGCAGGGCCAGATGGGGGATGTTCAACAAGCCCTAACAGAGGCCACAGCTCAGAATGCGCCATCTGAGTGTTTACAGATTGAATGCCCTCTCCTGCTTTCTGGGGCTCGGGGGACACGGAGCTATCCAGGTGGGGCGAAACAAGAGAGACAAGCCAATACTGAAGTGCAACACTTCATAGCACCGCCGCCGAGTTTGTAAACTTTTTCCAAACTCTGTTTGCCAACCACTTTGGTTGTAGCCTAGGGCTCATTCACAGCCAACTAGGTTTCAGAAACAAAAGCTGGAAAATTGCTCAAGAGCACGGCGCTGGCTGAAAACGAGGCCATGATGTGAATTAGTTGACATGGACTATGTTCAATCAAAGTCAGTCAAAGCCTTGCAACTTGGCATGTACAGGCTTACCATAACCATGTACTGCCGTCCGATTAGCTGAAAACATTCACCTATTTCCCAGGGGGACCAGAGAAAAAGTAAAGGCCATTAATAAGTCAATTATGTCCCGTGTAGCTCTTCATTTTGGCCATTGTTAGAAATTAAATGGAGTCAAGTTAGGCTTTACAGCCACACACCATAACACAGCATTAGATGCTTTAAAATCTTTAAAGGAAAAAAAAATCCCTCCTTCTCACTAATTACAGAACTGGGCTTTTGTTAAATTATGTAAATGTCCTTAATTTCACATGCGGCTTTTCAATTAGAGGCGTCCTAGCAGCATTTCATCATTAGCAGCTTTGAGCTGTCTAGGAGACACAACCATCACCCACTACCACACACATGCACACAGAGTGTGGCACTGTCTCACTGTCTTCCTCTCCTTTTGTCTTATTTGTCCTAATCTCTCTCCCACACACATACAAATGCACAGAAAGATGTCACTAAGTCGTTATTACTGCAGAGAGGTTTCTTATTAAATTTTGAAATATCTACACATTAAATACCATTTTAGAGAAGACTAAGCATCTCTCCAGTGCTTTGCTCGAGAAGACAGAGCAAAATTGCAGGACATTATTTATAAATCATGGAACAATAATCTAATGACCCCTGCTCGGCCACTGTAAAAGAGGGGAAGGTCTAATTGATGCGGATCGCAATTGTTCACAGAAGCTCATTTCTGAACATGACATGAAGTGGACACATGCTTAAGCTGAAAGCTTTCTCATCCAGTTACTGGCAGTGAGCAGCAGAACATGAGGAGGGAAAAAAGAGAGAATCAAAGCTTTTTTTTTCTTATTTTTTTAACTTGGAGAGCCCTTCTCTCTGAACAGCAGATGCAATTAGCCGCCACATCAGCAGGGCCCTAGGCTTTGCTCATGTAGAGAACTTGGGGTCATTTCATGAGGCTTTTTGCAGTGTTCCACAGCCTGTTTATCACCGTGACAAGCCCTGCCATGCAGCGCCACACACAACACTGCACACGTTTAACAAACTGGTGTGGGCAGACCTACGAGTCAAGATGGCGTTTCCACAGCAGATACTGCACACAAAAACCGCATTCAGTCTGTCAGGGGTAGGACTACACAGTTTTTGAGAAATATCACATTATTTGGAATAAATAGTGTGATATTTCAAAAAACTAACTATCGATGGGGCCAAACATTCACCCAGATGACTTATTCCCAGATGGGGCAGTAACACCTTAATTTGGTAGCCCACTACAGATGCTTACCTTGCATTTAACTTACATTCAACTATATATCTATTCTTGACCTTAAATTTCCCGAATCAAGCCTTGAGTCTCTGGGGTGTAAGTGTGAACAAAGTCTCAAGTCTCTGAAGTGTGAGCGCAAGTTGAGTCTGGGTCTTTAAAAGAGAATTTTAGTTTTGTTCTTAGCTGAAAGCGTTGCATTGTACAAACATAAACCCCTGCTAAAAACGTTCAAAATGGCTTCAAATAATGAGGCTTCAATTCTAGAAAAATCTTCAGTCTGAAGGACAAAACTGAACCTCTACAAGCAGCTAAGACAGTGTTTAAAGGAAAAAGGCAAAATGACTTGAATCAGTTACTTAGTCTGTAGTTTGTACAGCAAGCATATATAGCTAATAGCCAATCCAGCTTTAGCAAGTTTTAAAGGAAACACTGTATTTACTGTGTGTAGTGCTTCATTTCATCTTTCAGATTTTTCTATGATTAAAGGTTTGTTGTTTGAAGCCGTATTGAACCTGACATCACACATTAAGGTTGGCAGTTTTTAATCAGTTTAATCAGTGAAATTTCACAAGCTGTAAATCTCAAGTCATGTTGCAAGTCAGTTGAGGGTGAATCCCTAGCCGGGAGATTAAATATAATAGCAAAAATAGTGGCCTTCAAGAGAAAATGGTACTGGAGATTCATCAAACATGTGAAAGGCACAACATTACTGTCAATCAAGAAAATTACCACCCCCAAAAATAATCCTGATTGGTGAAAGACAAGGTTATAGTGCAGTCCAAAGACACCAAAACATGTTGAAAGTTTAGCCTGAAATGATAAATGGCATAATAAAAATAAACAGCATCAAATAATTATTAATTAATCCCTTATTCTCCACACTAGTGAGGCAGAAATCTGCAGAGAAAGTAAGCGTGGAAAACGTAGAACATTGCGCACTTTGGTGCTGCACGTTCTTTCGGATCAGCGCCTGAACTCTGTGGCCTGTGGTAGCCTTTCTCCCAGAGCAGACACTCCTTCATTTTAATGCTGGTGTGCGTCGCGAGCTCAGAAAGCAAGCAGGGCCAGGAGGGAGAAAGTGCAAGATCATCATAATTTACAGCGCAGACTTGTCCGCTTGAGAAGCCAGGCTTTAAAATGCCTATTTCCCAGCAAATCCCTCGGATTACCTAATAGGTCAGCCTGTCTGCTTGGCATTAATGGAGAAATTCACAGTCACAGATAGCTGTGTTTTAAACTTCAGGAAAGAAAAATGATTTTTACTTGGATGATCTTCTTTAAGGCCAGTGGCAAAGCAGCGGCAATTGCTAGAAGCAAAGTGTCCAAATAAAGCGAAAAAACATTTGGGGAGATCAATAGGGTCCAGGTCATGGCTGCTTTGAATAGAATCTTATTAATTGACATTAGAAATTCTGATTAACTCTGCATTTATATGCTCATGTAATTAAAACATGTCAGGGTAAAATAAATGAGTAAAAAATGTTGGTGCAAATGCAAGAAAGAAGTAAGTAAGTTAAGAGCACCAAAAGCCTGGCAGCATCATGCTTTGCTATCAGCAGGTACATGTATGGACTTTATATTACCCAAGCGAAATGAACAGGCCTCAGCATGACCTGCAGTCAGTCTTGCTGGCAGTCAGTAATCACTTGTACAGAGGTAGTGTTAGTGTAACAGTTACAGTTCCACAACCCCAGGAGGCAAGTGCATAGAACCTGACTCCACAATCCAGTATCTACTCTACACTGGTGAGGCAATAAGCCAGTTATACTGTATCAGAGAGTGCTGTGTCCTCCCCTACTAACTGGAACTTTAAATGTGGAAAAAGTTCAATGATCAGACATGTTCATCAGTCACAGCATGATAAAAACAGCAGAAGTCCACTTCCAGCATAGAGAGAGCAGAAAACACAAACAACAAAAATACAATTAAATAAAACATTAAAATTAGTATTTCTGTGAAACAAGCTTATTTAACAAATCCATATACTAACCCTCTCGACATCTGGAGGTCTTAACCAAAGCTTTCTTGCTCAGAGAACACATAACCAAGCATTTGTGGATTCTAAAAAAAGGGACTACGCTAAAACCTAAAAGCAGCTTTTGAGATTTTTCGCAGTGACGCAAATAGTGAACTGCAAGACAAATTACCTCTAGTGTGCAATTATACTCTGACACCCCGAGAAAAGGAGGAAGTGACTGCTGCCATGGCAACAGGTAATAGGGTGAGATTAGCAGAGGACTATTTCTTCTTCTTTCATTAAGCAGAGTTGTACCTTGACATAAGCATACATAAACACCCATACCTGATGAAATGCTTATTAAGAGCAGAAACAAAGCATCAGGGTACATTTATTGACAAGCATGAAACTAGTATCACTAAAAATCATTTTAAAGGGGCATCAGAGACATCATACTGCAGATTAAGACTTAACGGAATAGTTCAGCAATTTAAACAATTTACACAATTTTCCCCTTTACATCAAATGCAGTTACTACTACAAGTCAGATCTGGAAAATGTATGGGCAAAATTCAAGATAGTGATGTGGCATACTTTTGTCCATTTTTAATTGATAAAGTGTCAAAAACAACATAAGTAAGCCTATTTGAGATTACTTAACAACTCAATGTGGTTCGAGGCAAGTGTACGACAAATTAGGCATGCACAGTGCTAAGTCATGTGATATAAGTATCCTTTTTTTGCTAGCTACATTAGGTTTGTAGCTGCAGTCCAAAAATTAAGAAGCAAACTTCAGCCACCGAACTTTGGAGGTAATGGGAACAACTGTGCACATTTGATTTTTTTTCCACCAAATTGTTCCTGTAAAAGAGAACATTCTCTCATTAATTGTCTCTGGAAGCCTTTATATGTATAAAGTAGGCAGCTGAGCCGTTAACTCATCTTGGCAGAATGACAGTGCTGACCTGTGGAGCAGTCATGGCCGGTCCAGTTGGGGTCACAGCTGCAGGTTCCTGTGTCAGCCAGGAAGGCCCCATGGCCTGAGCATTGGTCCATGCAGGAAGCGCGGGGGCTCTCACACCCAGGACCCCCCCAGCCCACGAAACAGTGGCACTCACCCCGAACACAGACACCTCGCCCGGAGCAAGTGGGGTCCAGACAGTCCACTGAAGAAATAAAGAAACACTGTTAGGACGTCCTATCCAAGGCAAAATAAACACCACTGAACATATATGAGATACAAAGACTGAGAGCAAGAGAGAGAGGCTAGCTGTTTTGTTTGTTATTCCTGATTCTGAGTCGTTAACCTGAGGGGCTATATCATACATTGGCAGGCGATAGACTTGTATGAATATCCCTAGTCAAATGACATGTTTTACTGATTGAAAGGAAGTGAAAGGAAATTAACACATCCTCTACAGGGAAGACACTTAAACATAGCATTTTTTCTGAAAATCTCATGAAAATGCACAATTTCTGTTTATTTAAGCTATTGGAAAAAATGAAATCTAAAAAATCCCATACCTTTGGCATGGGCCACTGTTTATGTTTTTTTCCTAAATATGTTAAATTCAACAAATAAACAGTAATTGTGTGTTTAAATGTGTGTTCTCTATAGAGAATGTGTTTATTTCTATTCACTTAGAAAATTGACAAAACATCTAATTTGACAGGTGGTACCCAAACTTTAGCATACAACTGTACAGTGTTCAAGATAAATGGGAACATTTAATTATGATTATGTGTCTGATATTCGAATTGCAGTTGATAATTACAACCAATAACAACCAATGCATTTGCATCTACAGTCATACTGCGAAGGTACAGAATACAAATGTCAGCAGTTTGGAATTCTTTCACAGATTCGGCAGAAGACAACAGAACCGCAGCTGGCAACAAATATTCTGTTCCCAGTTCAGCACTGTCCCTCCCTATCTCCCTATATCTCAGTTCAAACTCAAGTTCAGCAAATGATTAAAGGAAAACAACAGCTAGTATTAGCATTAGCAGTTAGTATCCTTAGAGTTCTGAAGCTCAGTGCACTTAATTTATGGACTGAATTTAGTGTGAACTTGTTGTAAAATGCAAACAAGTAAAATGAGCAATTACTGGTATCAATATCAGCCATAACAAGGCATTAATAATGTGATATGCACAGAATTTGCACAATGGCTATTTAAAACTAAGTAATCATTTGAAAATATTGTACTCAATATAGTCATGATAAAGTGATGGTTTCCAAAATGGCGGGGTCTGGGACTCTCTTGTAAACAAGCGCTCTCCACATTTCCAGCCAATACTTCCTAAAGCTGGGCAAGAAAGGGATTTACAAACAGGCAAATTAAACAGCCAACCCTACGGCCGTGCAACATGCAGCCAGGTGGAGGATAGCTCTCTCTCCCTCTTTCTCTCTCTAACTCCCTCTCTCTCTGCTGGTAATGAGATTTCCTCCCAGCGCCAGGGAGGGACGGCGCAGCCAGCGCATGCTGGGCTAAATTGAAAAGCGGCGCTGGACGTGCTCCCCCGCTCGCTCGCCGCCGAACCCAGAAACCCAGAGAGCTGGACAGAATGCAAACGAGGCTGCTGCCACACACTCAGGCCTGGCGGGTAAAAAACACAGCCTCCCTCTCTCCACACACACTCGCTGCTACTCTTTATTCGACCGTATCCCCCCCTAGAACTTAGCCTGACTTATGACTGCTGATCCTTCCATCACTCAACCTCTGAGAAGGAAAAAAAAGAAAAAAAAAAAGCAGAAAGTCTGTTCAGTCCCATGCTAACGCTAATGACAGTTAATGGTTGTTTAATGAAAACAGAGACTTGGAGAAAGCTGGCGAATGTTGCCTCGGATAACGAGAGGACAAGTGCCGTGAGAAAAAAAAAGGTCCTCAATTAGAAAATAATAACAACAACAAGAAGAAATCGGATCTCACAGATGGAGAATGTGCATCTGGGTGGAGGGGACATGGAGACGCAGGGGGGCACGGCAACCTCCCTTTACCATGACATAAATGCATATAAAGGCCTCGCCTATAGACAAACAGGAGCTGTGGCCTCTTAGCAGATGGCTTGGGCACAAGGCTCGGAGATCATAGGCTAACTGACAAGAGCTGCTCTCCTGGCAATTAATCATCACTGCCTGAAGGTCGCAGGGAAGAAAGGTAGAAGCCTTAAAGGGCCAGTGGCCCCATTCTCTCCCTCCGCCTGTCTGCGGTGTGACCCAAAATAGAATATTGGGGGGGGATCAGAGGTGTCAGAACTCCCATTTATCAAAATCAGCTGCTCTATTTTTCATCTTGAAATGAGTGCCTTCAAGAGCTGCCAAACACAATGGTGAGTTCAAGCTTATCTCTTGGCGCCTTGGCCCTGGGCCCTCTGTCGGGTCCTCTGAGACGCCATTAACAGATTAAAGCAGGGCTGCCCGATCCTGCTGCCAGAGATCTACCTTCCAAAAGAGTTTATTTCCAACAAATCTTCCTTTAATATTCACCTGCTATGATTAGGTGGAGCACATGTACTTGGGGAAGGAGGCATATTGGTATAAATGTTGGTATGCTTTTGTCCCACGATGTGAATTATTTATCATATAGTCGATACCATGATAAGTTCAAAAATGATAAAACAAAATTAGCCCCACTACTAATTAGGTATGCACTTGAACAGCCTCAGTGATTCAAATGAACTCAGCAAAAATTAGGCAAACTGTTGACAGTGTTGGCATAGACTGTAACTTCGTGATAAAGAATATGCTTACTTTTCATTCTTGTTTTAAAATATTATGTTGTTGTTGTTGTTCTTCTTCTTTTTCCTATTATTATTATTAGATGTTCTTATATATCATGATACATTGTCATTGCCCAGAGATTTAAAACACTGTGATATAAGTTTGAGCTCATTTTGCCCATTCCTGGTTGGTACTAAACTCCTGGTTGGTACTAAACTCTGGAGGACAGTCACACTTTCCGTTTGTGCAAAACTGTTTACTGAGTTTCAGACAATAAAAGGGATTGCTCTGTGTCTTAATGAACTGCTATGAACGCCTCCAAAACATCCATAATGTACTGAGACAAGAGAAAGCTTCACCAGCTTAACAGAGAAAGATCAGAAGCTTCTGGGCTCGACTCCAAAAACTGTAGAGTCTGAAATATTCAGGAACAGGGTGTGTACTGGTCCTGAAAAAGCCCCATAAGCGCAGGGGATGAAATGGTGTTGTCTTTCTAATGTAGCTAAATTATGGCTCATCTCACAAGTTTGGCACCACACAGATTTTGGACTTCTGTGTAGTGGAAAACCAAAAACATGAACACTTTGCCTAACCACAGTGTATTGCTAGGCAGGCTGCTGCAATCACGCAGACCCCATGCTGTGTGTGCAGTGGGGGGGGAGATTCGGCTGAAAGCTGGCAGGCGAATGACAGGAGAATGATTGGGAAGATTTCTGCTGACAGTCCTCGCAAATGTTTGTTTATATATTTTAGGGCTGCTTTTCAGTAGCCTTGGACTCTGTGGCACTTTTGATAGCTGTTCTCCACTCAAATCCCTTTTCACCTGAACTTGAGCCTTTGACTATGGTCTTTTTTGAGGAAAGGTAAACTTGAGTGACCAGGCATGCAAGTGTCGAAAAGTCCAAAAAGCTGTTTGTGTCCTGCCTTTCTTCAAAAGCACGCCAAACTCATTATCTTCAGAGTGGCATTACCTTCCTCACAGTTTTCTCCCTTGTAGCCAGGGTTGCATATGCAGGTTCCCACTATGCACGTCCCGTGTCCACTACAGGTCACGTCGATACACTGGTTGGTAGGAACATCGCATTCAGACCCTTTCCAACCACTGTGGCACATGCAGCGGCCTTTTAGATACTGACCATTGCCGCTGCAAAGCACTGGACAGGAAGCTGTGGGTGGGCAAAGACATAGACACACATTCATATGAATCAGGTATGTGAAGTACAATGATTGTCTAAGGATTCTGGCATTTCTAACTGAATATTTATTGTTTCATGATTTAATATTACAAGCATATTGTGTTAAAGGGTCAATCAGAGATTTGTATAGCTATTTTATTTCAAATGAGATTTATGGCATATCTCACTGATTACCGAAGCTTTGAGCATTTACTCAAAGCTCTATTTCTGAGCGCAGAAGGTATCATGCCAACTCTTTCAGTGCTCAGAAAATTCCTGATTGTGCCTTGGATTACTTTTTTAAAAAGTCAGAGTGACATACCAGAAAATAAAGAAAAGAATAGCTAAACAGGTAATAAAGCAAGAGTCAGAAAAGTTAGAAAGCAAATTTGAAAAAAAAAGAGCGAGAGAGATGGCACTCTCACCTCTGCCGCAGTCTGGTCCTCTAAATCCCAGGAAACAATGGCAGGTTCCAGCTATGCAGTCTCCATTACCGAAACAGTTACTGGGACAGTCATCAATCGAGTCTAAAATAAAATAAACAGGAAAAAAAAAGCAACAGTGTCTGTCAGGGGAGCTCACAACATCCATCAATGGTTTTTTATATATATATTTTGTCTGCTTTTCTTGTTCTGCTGCAATGTCCAGTCTTCCTTCTCTACCTGAAAATGGAGACTGCTGATGTTAGTTCTCATTGTCCTGACGAAAATGCCTGTGAAACTCAAACTCTTCTTTAAAGTTCAGCAGAAAGTAAGACGACATTCTTTTTTTTCAAAGAAAAGCATGAAGTTGTGTATGCTGAACACGTTCAACTCAATCCCTGGCCAAATTACATGTTTTGTAGATTTAAAGTTAACACATCCTCTACATGGAACAAATGCAAAATACTGCATTTTCTTCAAATTTTAGTGCACAATTTCTGTTTATTTGCTGAGTTTAACAAACACACACACACACACACACACACACACACACACACACACACACACACACACACACACATTTTCTAAGCCACTTATCCTTCTGGGTCACGGGGGTTGCTGGAGCCTATCCCAGAAATCATTGGGCAGAAGGCAGGAAACATCCTGGACAGATCACCTGTCACTGAGTTTAACAGTTTGGAAAAAAATAAAAACAAAACATAAAATATAAAATGTGCCTTAACTTTTGCACAGGCCATATTTTATCTGATTTTTTCCCAACATGTTAAATTCATTAAATTGTGCAGATGTGTGTTCTCTGCAGAGGATGTCTTAACTTACTTTCACTCAGCAAATCAGCAAAATATGTAATTTGACCAGGGTTGCCCAAGCTTTTCCATACGACTGTTACGTGATTTGTGGTTTAGCAGGTGAGGTGTACGTTATGTTTATTTTAAATAGAAGTATTATGTATTATGTACAACCTGCAGGTCTTGTGCTATTATGTTGAGTATTATGTATTACTTTTACTTGCATTACTTGTACCTTATTGTTATAATATCAAAGGCATAAAGTCATACCAACTTCAACATTAAGAAAACATTGGGCTTGCATAAAGACAACAAAAAGATCTTACTACTAATTTCTGCTAGTTTTTCTTGATTACTAAACTTCTTGTAAATAATCAGTTATAGTGAATGACATTCTGTTGTCAGCACTTAAAGAAATTTAGGAAATATTTTAAATGCTTATCCAGGGGCAACTTACACTTTTAATTATATTATGGAGGTTTGTCTAGGCAGGGAATCAAACCTCAATCTGCCGCATGGTTGAGGTAATAAAGACAGGCCATGTCACTCTTAATACTGGTACATTATGGAGTTTTGAACTTCACATGGTGCAAGGTCTTCAGATTTCCTTCATATTTTTTCAAAAAGTTAAAAGTTTTAATGTGTTTTATTCCTAGCCTGATTCTGCCTCTTGCCATTTCTTGTTGGTTTTCAAAAAAGTTCATAAATTCAATAAAAATTTCATATATGATAGATTCAAATATCATATCTAATCTAACCTAATAATATAATGTTATTACCAAAAATTCATACAGTTGACGCTAGCAGAGGAATCTGGAATAAATAGATGATCATCAAAGACATAGATAGCTACTGTTATATATACATATATATATATATATATCTTTTTTTTCTTTATTTTAAGAAAGAAATCTTTATTTAGGTTCAAGAAACTTAAAATGTATCATTGCTTTGACTTCTAATAAAAATAGGCATTCAAACATTTGTTAAGCTGGATTTTGTTACAGTGCACAACTTCCACAGGCCTTGGTCATGTGGCACTAAAGATGCTGTTCTATTCTTCAGTATCTGCTGGAATTAAGCGCTATTAGCTCATTAAAGCAATGTAGGCCATAACGAATGTTGAGAAAACTGATCTTTGTACCTGACATGCAAACTGTTAAAGGTATTAACAATATTAGGTCCATAACTACTCAGAAAAGTCCAGTAACAGATACACGTTTAGATACAACTGATCATAACTGATCATGATTAGATCAAATGACTGAGATGGAGATGCAGCATGCTAGGCAAAAAGCACCAATTTTTTTTTCAGTTCAACATGAACCAGCTATAATGCAGATAAACCCTACAGTCTGCACTGCACACACATACACGCTTGCTCAAACCCTTTCATGCATCCAATACCTCCTGTCACTACTCATCCCCTGTGATCAGGAGGTTATTCCAGGCCTGCTCTGCACAGTGTTAACGTTCAGATGGTGGAGTACACAACTGCGCAAAAGGGGTCATTTCGGCAGCCATTCAAGCCGGTCAGAATTCAAAATCGGACGAGGCAGTGAATTAAACAAGAAATGCCGCTGAAAAATATTCCCCCTCTCTGGCTGCCCCAGGGCTTCTGGAGCTCCTATAGGGCCAGGACCGGCCCCGACAAAGCTGCTTTTGTGTGGAAGAAAAAGAGCTAGAAATGTGAACCTACTCACAGTCCTGTCCTTCCTCATGAGAGTAAATTACCGCAAAGGATGCAATACAATGAAAGAGAGAGAGAGAGAGAGGGAGAGAGAGAAAGAGAGAGATGGGGTGGAGAGGCACAGAGAAAGAAGGGAATTTCAAAGCGAGCTGAAAGTGTGTGTTTTCTACATTCTTGAGTTTTCGCTTAGTAATGCGAGAAGAAGAGGTTACAGGGTTAGAAACTCTCCCTGGTGTGTGCAAGGCCCATCTATATTTTGGTGGTGTGTTTGATAGCCTCCAACCACTGGTTCTAACTACAAGGCCCAACTCCTTTTATAAAATCTTGGACGTCTGGGAATTGTGTGTTATAGGCCTTCTCAATTTGGTCAAAATCTTGTATTGTGACTTTCTATACTTATACTGCAGGTGTGATATGCCTTGCAATATAACAAAATGTATTTGTTAGCTAATAATGTGACTGGGGATGTGTATTTGGCCAAAAATGATCAAAAACGGCCTTTTCAGTTTTGGCTGAAAGAGAAAAAAGGTTGAAATTTTGGCTGAAGGACAAAAAACCCACAAAGATCAAACAGGCCTGTACTGACATGCCAGACTTTATCAGTATTTTAACGATAATGGAAAAACAGCATTAGAGATAAAAATGGTGTTTGTTTCTGTTTTTTTAAACAAGCGATTCACTGTTCATGTATCAAGAGGGGGTACAATGCTTCACTACAGGTTTGATACCTCATCCTGCTCAATGCACAGAACACAGCAAAACAGCAGAAGCAAAAAGTACGTTCTCTGCTAGCAAGCGAACTGTAGCCATCTATTTTGAAATGATGAAAAAAATCTGAAAAAACAGTGCCAAAGTGCAAAAATACCTAAATAATAATGGAAATCACTGCCTTGGATGACTAGCCATTCTCTGTTGTTAAGAACAACCAAATTTATGGGTTTGGTTTTTGGCCAAGACATTTTATTTTGATGCATCAATAAATGTGACATGGTTAAAGACTGGCCTGCATTATTTTGACCAAATGTTTGTTTGATTATTTACTGTGATTAACCAAACAATGTTTGTTTGATTATTTACTGTGATTAACCAAACACCCACAGAAACTCTAGATGCTCACAGCACACAGTAAAAACTGCCCAGTATTACAATATTATTCATTTGTTTTTTCAGAATATACGTCATAGACAAACAAAATATGAAGTATATTCATATTCAGATTCCTATTTCATCTTTCTCCGCTCAGGTTCTTTGCATATCAAAATAAAGATAACACTGTCATTGAGTGATCTTGTTATAAATAATGAACAACACATTAAAAGGTAGAAATATCCAATAAAGAGTAATTTACATGTATAAAGCTACAGACTCTTTTCTCTTTCTGTATTCGAGCAGAGACAACTTGGTGATCTTGGTGGACATGCACATGGCATTCCAACAACTCGTTCTAGCTCTACAATCTGCCAACACCCTGCAGTCCTTCCCTACAGCGCACACACGCTCCCAACCACACGCCTGTCTGTCTGTCATCAAGAGTGATGTACACTCCACATACCCACCCAGCTAACTCCAGCACACACTTCCCAGCCCTGAACTTCTCCCCCAAACCCTCATGTCTGATATAATCTCTGACGACTGATGGTGGGTGACGATGGGAAGGAACAGCCTTTTTCCATGTTTTACCCCAGAAAAAATGAAGTACAGTCTATATTTCTGCTGGCTTCTTGCTCTCCCCAGTGACAAGAAGAGGAATGAGCCGTCAAATAGGCACTGGGTCACAAACCCGTGAAAAACATATAACATCTGGCCTTAACACAGATTTTTCTAGTCATGAACTTGTTTTGTTACTGATCAGCGCAATGGATTTGGACAGCCTGGGTCAGGGGACAGATTATGGCCATGGCCTTTCCCTCACAGGTTTTATTCCCACACACACACAGAATTCAGAGTGGGGGTGTGAGACAACGCTCGGCAAGGACAAATGAGACTGTGCTCCACTGAAGAGTGGGGAGGATGGAGCACCTCATCCTTTCAAGAGAAATCAGGATTATAGAGAGGAAGAGAGGAACTGACCTTTCTATGCTCCGCCCACAAATGTGTTTTCCCATAGAAACTGTTGCCAAGTTGGACAAGCTTTAGAGAACATTGACAAACATCCTATTTAACCTAATGAGAAACTGTAGTGCTCTCTGCAGTGAACTTTGTTTACAGCTGCTGTATTATGTTGCGTTTCCAGTTTAAAATGTTGTACTGCTGGACTATGTTGTTGTGCTGAACAATGCTCCATCAAGCTAGCACGAGCTCGATGATGCATAAAAAAATTAAAAACTGAAAATTTAGTAAAAAAACTATTCCCATTTATCCTAACACTGTGCATTTCACATACAGACACATATTCATGTGCATAAAATAAATATCATTTGAAATTCATTAACACACTAAGGCCCAATCCCATTTCATCCCTTGCCCCTACTACTTAGCCCATATCCCTCTGTTTTGCGCGTTCACAGCTAGGGTTAGGGTGTCCCAAGGCGAAGTGTTAGGGCTACATGGTCCTCCAAAAGGAGGTTTTTCAGAGATGCACTCCAAACGGAGTGTTATCAGAAAAA